GCATTTAACCACTGCGCCACCTCGGCTCAAAGGGAGGTTGTTTTATGATTTACCCTGCTTTTCCTTGACAGATGGACCTGGATGAGGGCAAGGGTGGTACAGGCCTGCGCCAGTATTATCTGTCCAAGATTGAGGAGTTGCAGGTAAAGAGTTACTGAGTCCCTGAAAGATTAAAAGTGATGTTATTTGCTTTAAAAATAGATTTTTTCTTCTGATGAGTAAATTAAGCTTTGAAACATTTGGATTGTAATTGATTTGAAATGTGATTTCTGGATAACTTTGAACTCTCTCTTCATTATGGCTGATAATGTGTAGCACAGGGGTGTCAAACTGGATTTCTTCAATGGATGGATCAGTATTGTAGTTCTCCGTGGGCCGGCCAGGGTGAGGGAGATGGGACAGACACCTTCTGCAGCAAACCTGCAAGACCAAAATGGGCACTCCGTTTTCAGCCTGGATGGCCTCTTGCAGCACTTTTGCCCTGTTTTCACTTCTAGGGGCACTGCAGCAGATCCAGCCTGTGGACCTTAAGTTTGACACCCCTAGTGTAGCATAATGTAACATTTGCATTAATGCTTCAAAAAGAAAACAGTAATATGTAAATCCTGGTCTGGGGCTCCTAATTGTGAATAAAGAAGGTACGTATGCAGGAAAAATGGGGTTTTGACATACGTTTACTATATTTGATATGAATCTTTAAGGCACTGTGCATATGGTCTTGAACGCTCCTTACTAGTATGAGAGCTAAAACACTTGGTTATTAGTATTTGATCCAGTTTATACTGGGCTAGACTAGAAATAGTGCAGCTGCCTTTGATTTTCTTAATTGATAGTTTGAAGTGGTACAAATGCTTTGCAAAGCTGTTTACTCCAGATTATGTAATACTTATAGCAGGGAATATATGTTTTTTTTATTATTGTGCCTCTAAACAATGTTAATTGATTTCTGCCTGAGTTTTTTATGATGTATTGCCTTTTTCTTTTCCTTGAAGTTGATAGTCAATGATAAGAGTCAGAATCTAAGGCGACTGCAGGCTCAGAGGAATGAACTTAATGCCAAAGGTAAGTTAGAAATAGTGCTTTGTTTCATTGCTTCTATGACCAAGGAATGAAGAGCAGAATAACCAAAACTGTGTAACTATTTTGGGAGTTGAATATGGTATTTTAAACAAAAGTGATATAAGACAATCTAGATAATTATAAATAGGTTTTTATATTATACCTCCTAAATAGCTAAAATCAAATTTATACTGTAGAACACAATGGAATTGGTCTACATATAGATTCATACATAATTATACTTTTAATATTAAATATCAACAGAACAGCTTTATGAAGCACATGGTTTACTTGTTAAATAACTTTTAATTAAAGATATCTTTGCAGTCCTCAAATGTTTATACATATGAAGTTTATGTATTAAAATTTATTTTATAAGCTTATAGAAATGTGATGTTTTAAGCAAGGATAGGTGAAGAGAATATCTTAGTTGAAGAGTAGAAAATTATTTACTAGGAGTGTTCCAAGAATCCGAATGCCAGTTTGAAAACCAAGCCAGCTGTCTTTACATTGTGTACTTTAAGTTTTACTTTTCTGCCATCCATCCAATCACCCTATGTTGATGCATTATTTATTGTTTAAATACTTTACATATTCTAGTACGCCTGCTTCGTGAGGAATTGCAGCTTCTGCAGGAGCAGGGTTCCTATGTGGGTGAAGTGGTGAGGGCTATGGACAAAAAAAAGGTGCTAGTCAAGGTATGGTCTTTCTTGCACACATCTATCACTATTTTAGATATTTGTTCCCTCAATTGGGAATAGAGTGAAATATTAATTGAAAATAATAGTGTTTAATATTTTTTTAATCTTTACAGCAGATATATAGAATTAAACCCTTCTGCTCAAATCTTCACTCAGTCAAGATTGTTAAGATAAAATTGTTGTGGGGGGAGGGGAAAAGAGAAGAGTTGCATGTATACCATAGGTAATCCTTGATTTGTAATGAATTATTTAGCAACCATTGAAGTTACAGCAGCACTGAAAATACTTATGACTGGGCCTTGCACTTATGACTGTCATGATATATTGTATTTTTTGGAGTATAAGACACACTGGAGTATAAGATGCACCAAGGTTTTGAAGAGGCTTTTTTTTAAAAAAAAAAGTAGGTAGGTAGGTAGAGGGATAGAGAGGGAGAGAAAGAGAGAAATACAATAGGTAGGTAGGTAGGGAGAGAGTAGTTAGTTAAGTAGGTAGATAAAGAGAGAGAGAAAGAAATAGAGAGAGAAATACAGTAGGGAGGGAGGGGGAGAGAGTGTGTAGGTAAGTAGAGGGATAGAGAGGGAGAAATAGAGAGAAATACAGTAGATAGGTAGGGAGAGAGAGTAGGTAAGTTGATAGGTAGAGGGATAGAGAGAGAAATACAGTAGATAGGGATTGAGAGAGAGGGACGGTAGGTAGGTAAGTAGTAGGTAGATAGAGTGGGAGAGAGAGAGAGAAATACAGTAAGTAGATAGGAGGAGAGAGAGAGTAGGTAAGTTGATAGGTAGAGGGATAGAGAGAGAAATACAGTAGATAGGGATTGAGAGAGAGGGACGGTAGGTAGGTAAGTAGTAGGTAGATAGAGTGGGAGGGAGAGAGAGAAATACAGTAAGTAGATAGGAGGAGAGAGAGAGTAGGTAGGTAGGTAGATGTTTCCAGGTGTATTTATCCAAGTGCTAGAGAAGGAAATAGCTGACAATCTGCAGCAC